TTCCCCATTTTCTCGCTGGGTGCATATCGCGCACGTTTTCCCAAACTGCATTAACTCAAAGTCAGCGTTCATTTCTATACATATTCATGCATATAAGTAAAGAAACCCTTCTTCTTTCGGGTTTTTTATTATTCTGTAGTAGGGTTTCCAGACGTATCCCATTGGGTGGGACATACTCCATTTTGACGGTTTGTCCCCCCTTGTTACGGAAGGTTGCGTAGGTCCCCTATTTTTTCCCGAAATCGCTCACTTTTCGCTTGAAGCGTGTTTGTCTTGTTCAACTTTTACAGACGATTAGTTGAATCAAAGTTGAACGAAAAGTATAATTTTTATTTAAAAATATTCGTATGCCATATTTAAGGCTAAATATGTATGTACACACACTGCTGATCAAAACTGAGTGAATGGTGACTTTTTCAAATATCTACAACGATTTTCAAGTTATTTGTTTTTGTTATTTTTTAAAAAAATACTTTTCATGCTTTAAACAAAACTATATACATACATTAATCAGACTTGCAAACTTAAAACAAATCTTAGAAAAATGCAACAAATTTCCATCAAGATTTTGAATTTCTTAATCCGAATTCTTGGATATGCACATACATGCCTCATGAAATTTTTGTAAAATTTGTGCAAATTTTAAACAGCGCTTTTTTTTTATATAAGAAGTGCAATTTATAAAAACTGGAATTGATTTTTTTTATTTTTTTTCGCAAAAGTTCTTGCGCATTTTCTTCAAATTCAACTTTGTATGGGTAAAAAAACATCAGCAAAAAAGTGTCAAAGATCTATGCGGTTTTTAGCCGCGTAACAACAGAATTCAGATTAAATAGTCCAAAATTTGTTGCATTTTTCTAGAGTTTGTAAGTTTGAATTAATTTTATGGTTTTGGCTAACAAAAAAATTTACTTGAAACACATTGTAAAAATTCAAAATGAAATCACCATGTGCTCAGTTTTAATCGCCAGTGTAACTTTGTTTTGTTCAAATGATATTGAATTTTTATTTTCGAACGCTTTTGTTGTTCCATAAGTGAATAAATCAAATCTGTACCCCTTTCGGCATTTTAGGTCTGGCAACCCTATTCTATAGTTGTGCTTTTGGTTATTGTATTAGGGTGATTTGCTCTCAGAACAGCATTAAAGGGAAAAATTGGTTATAGACTAAAATAAATGGCGTGAAAGTCGGGTGATCTCAGCTGTAGGCATTTTGTGACAGCAATCAGCTGAGAGTGTTCCTGGGTTGCTTAAAATTCCCAGTTTGTCAGGTCTGCTTTTGTTGCATGGATCGATTAGGTTAGGATCGTTGCTTCAAATGATACCACCACGAACGGTAACTGTTAGTAAGCTAATAGCGAAAAACCTGTGTGCCAAGGTTTCGCATGTGGCTGTTTTCGGTACCGAAGAGCTCCTGTGGGCTGGTTAAAAAATGCGATTCCAGGTTCTAAGAACGCAGTCTTGCATGAGCTGGGTAGTTTAAGAGGAAGTGTTATTTATGTCGGCATTAAGTAACAAGCCTCTAGTCACTAATAGTAACATTTCGTAGCGAACTTCGATTTTGACGTCTACAGTTTCAAAAATGTCAATAATTTGTTAGCTAATTAATTAATTAAAAAAAATAAATAAAAAATAAAAAATTATATAAAAAAATTTAAAAAAAAATCCGCTGTCCGAGGCTATTACGGTTGTTGGAGCACCACGAGCAAAATGACATATTTACCACACATTTTTGTTGAACTTCTTGCAACTTTGTCTTACTGAATACCCAGTTCCTGTCAAGCCAAGAGTCAAATACTCACTATAATTGAGAGTTAGCTGCGGTTCATCTTTGTCCAGAAAGACTACTCTCTTTTTTCTCGGTCGCTGCCTTTCCTGACCACTCCTCAGAGGTCAGGCATTTCCCAAGCATAATTAAACTTACTATCTAATATGAACAACCGGATTTTTATGTATGTTTTTGTGTATGTGTCAAAAATTACAAATTTTGAATTAATACACTTTTAAAGAATGTGTGTGATATAAATACAACTGAGCAAGCAGGCCAGCAAGCTCTGTTAATGCGTTATTATCCTTTCTCGCGGCATGAAATTTTTTTTTGTCAAAAACAAAAACGTAGCACTCTGGTTGCATCGAAAAATGAGAAAAGCACAATGTCCATACATACATATGTATGTACATACAACATAACAACATAAATCCCATTGTACAGTGAGTACTTTGTTCACACACAATTTAACGTCACCTAACCATTATTCATGCACCTCTTTGGCAGCGCAGTAGATTTATGCTGACGTTTGACCCGCAACGGAGGTTAACTGTCATACACCATACGTAAATACCTTAGGTGCTGCATCTTTATGTGCGCTCAGTTGTGGGGGTTTTTCCTCTTCTCGAAAGCCTAGTGCTTAGTGGTTGAGGCATGCTTCTTGTGGATTACGAGTTGCATGGACAAGTAAGTGTTGGTGTGGAAAAGTATGTATGTATGTAGTTAACCTAGCGCTGTGACAGATTTTAATGATTCATCTTTTTTCTTTTTATTTCTTCTATTTCTTGCTGGTGACGAATGAATTAGTGTTGTAAAAAATGTCAACGAGTACGTATTGTGGTAAACACAATGTTGCTACTAGCGTACATTAGTTACACGCTATTGTACTTTTAAGGCGCATACTTTTGTTAACAGCATTCATTTGTAGCGTGTTTTCACTCAAAGTACGTAATCGTCTAGTTTTGAATTGCGCTTTTTTTGGCGCGCTGCTGCCTTAAGTGCCTTTTTGTTATAATTTGCTTTAAAAGTTTAGCAAAGACTTTTATTTAGCGGGAAGCAAAGTTTATTTCTAACTCTCGTTGTTTTAGAGTAATGAAAATGTTTAGATCTGAAATAAATACATATACATATGTGTATATAAGTATAGAGGAAACCAAAAGAGCTGGTAAACAAGTACCCATTCACAGCTTTAATGACTTAAGATGCTGTTAATTACTTCCGCGCGTTAACTTGATATACATACATCACCTTGAATGAGTGGTGGTTCGGATATCATTAACCTTTGCAGTTTTTCTAGGTACATCCACGAAACGTTACATAGTTACACAGGTATGCATAGGTACATATGTATGTATGTATATATGGGTAGGTGAATATTAGTAGGTAGCTGCTGTCATTAGTGATAAGCTTATGAAAACAAGTGTAAAGATAAAATTACGTGCAATAGTTACGTCAACAGATACCTTCATACTTCCACTAATTACATTGCCGTCGACTTGTGAATAGCGCACGCTTTTGAAGCTCAGTACTGACAGTTTTCATACATTTTTTTATAAAAATATACCTTGTTGTTTGTTGATTACCGGTTTTAAAACTTTACACAAAATTTTAAACTTAAATCTTAAATTTTACTAAGTGTTATAAGGTGCAAGTTTGAAGTTTCTTAAAAATGTATTCGTTAATTTTGAGCTTCAGGCCGGTTATTAAATAAAACATGGATTTGAGTTGTTTTATTTATTTACATTTATTCATGTCGATATTTCGCTTTCAATCTGAAGACATCTTCAGGAATTATTGAGTTTTTCAAATCACTTAAAAATGGCGTTGATTTTTGGTATTTTTTTTTTGTTGAACGTGTTCCGCATTTTCTAACATGCCAAGTATGTTCGCCAATTTTGTATATGAAAAAAACTGCCTTATTATCTGCTTTATTGATCCTACCTGTTTAATATGCTTTGATTATACTTAATTTAAATTAAATATATTAATAAAGTTTGAAATTTTTATGAAAATATGACAGTGTAACAGCGCTATTTGTGAAATTAAAAAACAAAAAGTTTAATTTTAGATTTTTTTAATAAATATTTACATTTCACTAAGATTTAAATTTCAATTTATTTTTTTAAATAAGCGTGGAAGTTATTAGCTCTAAAAGAAAAAAAAATCGATGATTTGCTTCCAATAAAGACTTCGTACACTAGTGTTTTCAATATCGCTTATGCCACTTGTTGCAAATCGTTCATCTCTAATAATGATGTTTCAAAAGTAATGCCGAATTTCCACTAGGCATTGAAATGACGAAAAATTTGTGCCATTTAAAAACTGCCTTGTCGAAACAAATTTAATGACAATTTTACTTAATGTAATGGCACATGTATTTTTTAATCCACAACTTTGTCATTAAAATTTTCGTCATTTAATGCCAAGTGGAATCCGGGTCGAAAGGGAACGTTATTCAGTGTAACTTATGCCTAACTGATTGCAATTTATGCATATGCATAGTTGAAATCGAAAGATATTAAAGAGTGCTTCAGAAATGGCAAATTCAGTGCAAAAAACTTAAAGCGCAAAAAACTTTCAACAGCTGTAATTAAAAAAAATATATATAAAAAAAATATTAGTTAAGAAATCGTAAAACAATCATGATTGACTGGGTGTCAATCGTGCGACATTCGCGTCGACGCTTTTCTAATTACGTCGGTGCGCGTTCGCCGGTGCGTATACGTCGTCGAAGAAGACAGTTGGTGGCGCCACCGGCAGCAGCAGCAGCAGCAGCCACAGCACAAACACCAACAACTGGCAAGCATGCGAGCAACAGTGCAACAACACCGGTCGGTGGAGCAAAGACGCCCACCACTAGTAGCGGGGCGAGCAATAGTGGTCAAAAGGGTAACAGCAGCAGCAATGGTGGCGGCGGTGCTCAGTATGCCTGCTGCTGCGCTAATGTAAGTATGTGGATAGCGTGAATTATGAGGCTATGGAAGCGTAATGATGCGCGCTAGAAATCTATCTACAAATATGTATCTATGTAAATTTTAATGCATACTTATACATATTTTAGTTCAAAATATGGTCATGCTGGCATGCATAAGTATAAGTAGCATTTTCCATTTAAATTTTAAATACATATTCTTCTTATAAATATTTTCTACTTTTACATAATAACTTACTAACTGCGAGTATTAACGCAAATACATTTGACGTCTCCGTTTCTCTTCTTTTTTCATTTACAGAATCAGCGCATGAAAGTCGATGGCGACAGCGATGCACCCAAAGAGAGCGCAGGAGTAAGCGGTAGCGGCGCTGCGGTAGCAACTGAAGGCGGCAGCGTCAATGTTGCTAAGGCGGCTCGTTCACCTGAATCGGCGTCTCAGCATAATCGCCAACAGCAGCCCGGTAGTGCTAATGCGGACACTGCAAGCAGCGAAGCTGTAAGTGCTAATGTCTACAATAATAACAGCATTAATAAACAATACAATAACAACAACAGCACAAGCTCAGGCGTTTGTGTGTCGCCAATTTATCATTTTAATTGCCTGCAAATGGGTAATTGATATGTACCTACCTACAAATTTTTCGCGTATGTATGTACGTTCGCTTGCTTGCATTTACCCCTTCTGGATTTGAACGGTTAATTAATAACATCGCTACAAATACTTTGCATCAAATTTTTGCTTTGCTTTTCTGCCGCGAATTACACCAGTTTGTCCATAGTTGGTGAATTATTTCAATTAGATTTTTTCCCCTTTACTCAAATCGAGTACATTCTCACAGTTAACCTCAAACTACACTTCATGTACTTCTAAAATTCGTAACAGTCTCGTTTTATTTATATCACGCGCCAACTGGCTCCAATAGGAAATTTCAACATTATTTCCGTTTCGCCTTTCTAAAGCAGAGCGCACGTAGCACCTCTTCCACCTGCGTGCGCGCCCTATGTACATATGTACATACATACTATGTACATTAGATCGTACCAGAAAAAAAAGTTAACCGTACACCTTTGAATCGAAAGTATTTTTACAAGGCAATTTGGAAAAAAAAAATTTTTTTGCGAAACTTAGGGGTCGCCAAATGGGACTACAGTGACCCAAAAATAGTAAAAACGGACTACCCAATTTCAAAAGAAGTGATTACGCAGATTCATAGGAAAATTTAAAATTATATATTTGTATAAAAAATTTAGATTTTGTCGCAAGTAACTTAAATTAATTTTGTCACTATTGTTGATAAAATATTTTGGTGAACAGTTCTTTATATATTCGTGGTCAAGCATTGCTTTAAATTTGTGTATATGAGCAAATCTCATGAGTTGCTACATTTTTTGACAAAAACGTGTTTTTGGCAGAAAATGGTGGCACACCTATCTTAGACAATGCCTTATCTTCCGTTTGGCGTAAAGAACAAGATTCATCGCGAAATTGTATTTAAATGAAACTTAGAAAAGATATACCAAAACAAGTAATGTTTAAGCAAAAAACAAAACCGACTTCAATTCTCATATAAAAATTAAAGACTATCGTTAATCTCTCCATGATTCAATGATCGGATTTAAACCAAATTAGAATGGGACCACCTGTGAGGTAACACCTTTCCTTTAAAAAAAAAATTATATAAATCGGTTGACGTGGTCAGAAGTTATGTGGTAGCATACATAAAAAAACAAAAAAAAATAAAATTAATACAAAATAAAATTAAAATAAATAAAATAAAAAATAACGAAATAAAAAATAAAAAATATTTCGACGCACCGATAACCTTCCTGCTTTTTGTGAAGTCGGTTAAAAAGTAAAAATAAGACCTCGTGCTCATACACCCGTAGCTGTGTATGTAACGTATACGCCTCGTAGCGCCATAGACAGTCAGCTATCACGTTTACTCGCACGCCTTAACTTAAAAGTCATATAATTTAAAAGTAATTAAAAGTATTGGCTTGGAAAATTTTACACAGTATTCCTTATACACATAGTATGTATGTATGTATATACATATTACTTTCTTCATGTATATATGTAAAAATTTTAGAATGAATTTCGAGTGCGCCAATAAAAATTAAAAAATAGAATTTTAGTTTCTGAAAAATCATAGCCATCTTTTACTCAATGAGGTTGTTCAGTTTACAGCACTAAAATACACTACACAATAATAATTTTTAACCAGATAACCTGATAACCATGCAAGTGTGAACAACCTCAATGTAATAGTTTTTTTTTTCCATTTGGTGGCACACTAGTTTTATTACACTACATTCGTTCGTTTTGGCAAGAAGAACACTTTCAGCGTTACACATCTACTGAAATTCATAAGACAGTTTCACTAGTAATTCTATGTACATAATTTTGTGAGTATATGTATGTACATAAAATAAAGAACATACAAGCGTATTCTCTGAATTTCACCAAAATCGGCTAACATTTCCCCTTTTCCGCCCACAAAAGCTGTGGGCGTGGCAGTTCGTCGAATATTACCATTTTCCACATATCTTCTTTCCTAATTTCAGAATAGCGTATACATGAAATTTCATAGAATTTGTAGTACGGTTACGACTTTTGGCCGCAGCTTATATGGGGGTTGCCTTCTTAAATTTTTCGTCATATCTTCGGTATTTACAGTTGGATTTTAACGTATGATACATCGATGTTCTTGACAGTTTTTTTTTTTTTTGTTGCAAAGTTCATTAACCTCGGGCATCCCGTTCTAGTACTTACTCACCACTTCTCAGTTCTTATCAACCTAACGTATCACCCTAATATCAGTAGATTAAAGCGCACAAAAAATCATTCAAATTTCGCTAAAAAATATTTAGATTATTCCAGTAGAACTATTAAAAAAAATTATAGGCGAATATAGGTGTCTCCGGAAAATGTAATAAGCGGACCGTAGGTTCGGATAAAAATAAATTTTTTTTCCAAATTGCCTTGTAAAGATACATGCTTGAGATTCAGGGGTGTACGGTGAACTTTTTTTGTTTTCTTGTAAGGTGGTACAGTCTAATGTGCATACATATAATAAAGCAACTGCACAACTGGTGTGCAATTTAACCAGACATTATTAGTACCCACTACCTTGTTATGGAACTGCTTCATCGTCGTATTTTCACTGCCGATTTCTCCATTTGTTCTTATTAAATTCATTTATTGAAACGCTTTTAAATACATACAGTGACGAACAAAAGTA